TTTATTCTGAATTACCTTGATCAAATAATTAAATAGAAGTTTTATAAACACTTTTTCTTTGTTTTTCATATTTTTTTCAAAGATTTAATATAATATTAATATAAAATGAGAAATATTAACTTCAAAAAATACTTTAAATCATCATAAAAATATGATAGCCTTTAAGATAAAAAAATAATGAAAATATCAGTCAAAAACTAAAACAGTTTTTCATTTTGCATTTCTTAAATAATTTTTCAGGAAAAAAATCATACATTATCATAAGTAAATTTTGAGTTTTTGGACATCAAAAAGTTCATTAATTAGCATCCTATGCTAAAAATAGATTGTTTGTGGCATCACCTTCACTTTTATTACTAATAATCAACTATAGTTTATAATTGTATATGCTATTCTACAATGATGACACTTGCTTAAATTAAAATGTCCTTTTAATTTAAACATTTTTACATTAGTTTATCAGTTTAGTGTTGTATAGCAAATTGTACAGTAGGACTATTTCCTTATTTGTATGATTAAATTTTCAAAATTATCTTGAGTAATTTTAAACATTTGATTTTATGTTTGTAAAGACAAACATTTAAAATTATGTTTAAAATTTGTAAGTTATTTTTAGTACAAGTTGTTTAGAATTATGTTTTACTGTTTTATAAAAAAAAGTAGTTTTTATTAGCTGTCTGTAATTTTATTTTACTGAAATAAACATGTAATTTTGTTTGGATAAGAATTTTATTTTATGAACATAAAATAAGAAATTATCCTATGTAGTAAGTAAGTATCCTATGTGAATTAACTGATTTGTAAATTATAATTTAATTTTGTGTCCAATAATAATCATGATAATTATGTGTATGTTCAGGAGAAATTTTGGGTCCTGAAAATATTTTATATCCCTGTTAATAAGTAAGTCTTATTATACCTAAGACTTATTGTTCTGTTGCATTGTAAGATTGTATTTTAAAATCACTCAAAATTAGTCCTTTTTAATTGTGATCACATAGTGTATTTTTTAAATTTTGTTTAATGTTTGGACGCTTATTATAGACATTTATGTTTTTTACTGACAGTTGTAGATCAATTTTAAAACTAATAATAATTGTTTATGTAAGTAATTATTATAAAATACAACATGGAGGAGAGTATCACAAGATGCTAGGGGATCAAACTAAATCCCTAATATATATGACAATATCATTTTTGAATTTTAAAATATTTTGAGATTTTAAATATGCAATATTATGAATTTGAGAGAAAAATCTGTAATATTTTTAATAATCTATCATCAATAAAATTTTTTCAAATTTTTTTTTTTAAACTTTCTGTGAATTCCTCAATTACCTTTTACACCTTTAATTTGAAAGTGCCTGTTAATGAACTGATTAATAAATGAGAACATAGTGCAAAAAAAAAAAAAATGCTAAATATCATCATTTTAAATTAGAATTTTTCATTTTAATAATTTTGATTGCAGAACAATTTCCAATCTTTTTTCTATTTATTAATGTTTTGAAATTAATATTTGGAAAATTTATTAAGGGATAAATTTAATAAATTAATACTTTTGTAACAGATTTGTTAATGAATAATAAATAAATAATTTTTATTTCAGCTGTGGTAAGTAATTTTATGATTGTAGATTAATAACAGGATAAATTATTTTTATTTAATAAAACATTTTAATTTTAATAATTTAATGATTATAAAGATATAAAATTGTTAATCAGAAAAAATAATCAATTAAAAAGTCTAGTGAAGAATAGTGTATGTTCATATTAAATAAAATGCTGTTTTATTATGTCAATGTGCCATACTATAAGGGATGTGAGGGTCATGGAATTTGTGCAAAGTTGGTCAGGAAAAGTTATGGAATTTAACTCAAAAATTTGAGTAGGAACTCGATATTTATAATTTGTTTAGTATATTTATTATTTATTTAATTTTTTACAATTATACAGGTTTTATTTGTTATTTGCATAGTAGATTTATTTGTGGTACCACAAATATAATAATCAGAAATCTACTATTTTTATTTAAAAAGTTTATAAATTTTGAATTAACTTGACATGCATATATTCTGTTGCAGTTAGAACGTGATGCTTATGTACAAGCATTAGCTCGTTTTACCTTGCTTACAGCTAATTCACCTATTACTGAAATGAAAGCTAAAAATATTGATACAATTAAAACACTTATTACTGTTGCACATACAGATGGAAACTATCTTGGAAAATCATGGTTAGAGGTCAGTATTGCTTTTAGGTATTGCTTTTTATATTTCATAGATATGTAAATATTTTTTAAATTTGATAGATCTTGAGATGCATTTCTCAATTGGAATTAGCACAATTAATTGGAACTGGTGTAAAACCACGTTATTTAAGTAGTGGTCAATCAACAATTACTGACAGTGGTGGATTTGCTTTAGATCCAGCAGAATGTAAGTTTAGTATTAATTTATTTTGATTTATTAAATTTCATATATTTTATATATAAAAATGCAAAATATAATATTTCAAAATTCTACATTTATAAAATTTGGTACTTGAATGTGCAAAGTACAAAATAAAATATGCTAAAACAACAACAATTAATGTGGAACTGAAATGTTACAATTTTTAATTCAGTAATTATAACAATAAAATTGATTATTTGTAAAAATTACAAAATTACAATTATTCAAAACTTCGAGTGATTAACCTGATTTTAGGGAAGAGAACCTAGAAGGAAAAAAAGAAATGCATAATTAGCTCCAATCAATCATTTACAATTTAACATTTGCACACTGACCAGCAGAAATGAATGATAGCTTCCTTTTCCAGTTTGACAAGTTCATTTTTATACATTGCTGATTTACATACTACACATTTACAAGGAATAAGATTTTGCTTAACTTGGCTTGTAAACAGATACAAATATCTGTTTACAAGAATATAAATAGAAAATTGTTTAGGGTTTAAATATAGATAAAATATTTTATATATAAAAATTTTAATTTGTTATTCGAACCATACTATTAAATTATACAAATGAAGCTCTAGTTTGAAATTGTTGAGATAACAGTCTAGATTTAACGTAACATCCAAAACTTAAAATAACTGAAACAAAAATAAGTAACTAAATATAACAAAAATTCTCTCTTACTATCTCATACAGTTTCAGTATAATGCATTTATTTTCAACCTTCTGCCAATTTGCTAAGCATCTTAATGGAAAAATGTTTGTTTAACAAATAATACTGTAACAAAAATTTCAGTTTAATATAATAAAGGTTTAATTCATTATGAATGAAAGTGATCATTATAATGAAAACTATAAATGTATAAATTACTTTTTTTTTGTTGTCACTGGACATTTATCTGGCAATACAAATATTTGTCTTAATTGTCAGTTTAGTTTGTAATGTAGTGTCATTACTATATAATTATTCAAAATAGTAATCTAGACTCATCCAATATTGTGAACATGAAGTTGAAATTACCATTTCAGATTCAGTTAATTTGATGCAAAACTTCTATCATTTTCTGATAAAATGAAAAGATATGTCTGATATCATATTTTAATAATGTGGCATAGTGCATGAATTTATAGAAAAGGCTTTAATTACAGACAATCAAAAATCACAAATAAAGTGCAATAAAAAATTATAGACTTTTTTCAGCAATAAATAATAATTATTCTGGAGATGTACACATTATTATCAATGCTGCCATTATTTCATGCATCAGCTGGTTTGTTCAAGACAGTACTGACAATAAACTTTTAGTTACATATACAGATGACCAGATAATTGAGATGATAAAGGACAATTCTGGAAGAATAAGGTACATGTCTGGGGTTGGCTCAGAATTTTTTAGGATTGATTTAGATATGTTCAGCTTTCTAGACCATCTCATTCATTGTTGGCCTCTCTGTATTGATGATCAAAAAGTTCTCTTATTATCTGAGAGTCTCTGAGAGGAGAGTCAAAACATGAAAAAGTTCCTGCAAATTGTTGATTCACTATGGTTTCTTATAGAATCTTGAAATATGAAATTTACTCTAACAAGCAGTACCAGGGAAATTAATTTTAAGAATTCCTTGCTTTCAAGCAGGGTCATATTTACATGTAAGCTGTAGTTTATGGCCTATGTATGTAGTTTTTCAAGGTGCCTAAAAAATTTCTACAATAAAAAAGAAAATTGAAGTCAGGTTTTGTAATAACATTTTTTTATAAACCAACAAAAATATACTTTACTTTTTATTTTGTGTAGTATGTAATTGTAATATAAACAATATTGGTTATTAATATATTTCTAGTGATTTATACCTTTGAATATAAAATTTATCTGATTTTTATAGATAGCTTTTCTTACCTTTTAGTAACTTTTTTGTGATTAAAAAAATCATGAAAATGAAATTTTTAGTGTTTCCCTTTTTAAATTGTACCTTATTTTATAATATGTTGACTTTTTAACAATAAAACATTTATTATTAAAATTAATATGTTTATGTTAATTTTCTTCTTTTTATGATTGACTTCTAAAATTGTAGAGGATTGGTAAAGGACCTCACATAGATTTTTTTTTTGACCTCACATATGACCTCTTAAGGTTAAGATTTTTATTTTGTAATAACTTTTCCAATATTCTGGCATTTTGACTATAAGTAACAAAATTTAACTATACTGACATTTTACTATAGTTATTGGAGTATGTAGAAAGTATTATTTGTAGGAGTTTATATCAATCTTAAAATGAAAATAAAATAAGAATTCTTGTTTAATAGAATCAAAATAGAATTATTTCTAATATGAACAAATTTGTTATTTGGCAAAGTTTTAAAGTATTTACTTATCAAAATATTAAAAACTTTATTTTCAGTGTCTCGTGGTGGATTGGTATTAGATCAGAAGAAAATAGCAAGTTTGCAAGAGTCGATGGGTGAAACAAGTTCTCAAAGTGTTGTAGTGGCTGTTGATAGGTTAGTATCATTAATACTATATAGTCTTTTTACTAATAAATATCATTTATATTAATGTATTAACTTTTTTGACAATAAGAAGTATTGAAAAGAAATGAAGAAAAACAAAAAAGTTTGGACTGTGCACAAAATGTTATTATTAAATATCAAATATTGTTTATTTGAAACAATAGAATTTATAATTAAGCAAATAAAGTAGATGTTTGGTTTAAGATTATAAAATTTAGCTGTCCAATATTACAAAAATTTAAATCAAAATGTTAAATACATTTGTGAAAGAAACTGCTCTACATTAATAATTTTAAAGCACTGATTACAATTATTATTTTGTTGTAACTGCACATTTTTTAAATTTTTTCTTACAAAATTGAATTTATTTCTATCATTGACATGGGATTTTTTAGCATATTGCATTAAAGATTAAAAATAATGTTAAAATTACAATTGAAAAATTTACATTTTTTAAAACTTTTACTGACTTATTATTATTTTATTTTAATATTGATATAAGTATATTATAAAATAATAATTATTCAATTTTATGCTTTTTGTTATTTTTTTATTATTAATACTGATTATAAACACTTATAAACTCAAATATTAAAAGAAGCCTTTATTTAATGTTATTTATTAAAAGATAAATGATTTATTTTTATATATTAACAAATTTAAAAAGTTTATTTTAAAAATATTTCTATTATACTTATTGACTAAAATATAAGTAGAGAAATCTTTTAACTTTATATAAGTGGATTGTTTCACAACCTATGCTTAAGTCAATTTTTACATAACTTGAGCCATGTTTTATTATAAACCTTATGAATACAGAGACTAACATGTGTAAACTAAGTGTAGTAAGTCTTTCTATGGAAGGAAGGGAGTCTATGTTGGCAGTTTAGTGTTGTCATATGCTGCAGTTTTTTCTCTGTGATATTTTACATTACCAGTTTGTTCTGTAAAATTCCTTAGATGTTTTTCACATGGAAATTTTTTACATAAATTTGGAAGTAAGAATGTCAGGATCCATCTGTATATGCTATTGCAGCGATTCCCATCTGTGGTTATGCAAACCCCTAGGAGTATGTTCTTGGTAGTGTTGTAAAGTACTAATTAATTTGAGATGATTGTTAAACGACACGGAACTGTGTGCCGGTAAGATGTCCGTTAACCTAATGGATACTTTACGCAGGTTTGCAGCTAGAATGCCAGGCCTGGACTTATGCGTGCACCGAAATAACTATATACAAGGTCAGTAAGGAATCAACTATTTAATCTTAATTGGATTAAGCACTATATACAAAATTAGTAACAAGCAAAACAATTTATTCAATGAAAAAGCAACAATTTGAACTACTCAACAAAATCAAATCAATTTATTTACTAACTTAGAACTATTCCCCCTTGGAACTTGACAATCTCAATCAATTAACCTATGTACAACAATTCTTACAAAACTAAAATCTTGTCTGTCACCTCGTAATACTAGGAACCTTTATCCTTTCTTCACTTCCTTTCGCTATTTTCAAGACTCTCTCTCAATCTCCCTCTCTGGAATTAACCTCTATCGCTTTCTGGAAATTCACCTCGATCGCTTTCGGACTTCACTTAGATCACTTTCGGTCTTAGCTCACCTTGCTTGTCTTCTCTCGGTGAACTGGTTTTATACTCTGAGATGATGTCATAAGTAGGTCTGGAATCACTCCCCTCATTTACATACTTACATCTAACAATTAATTTTCATGTCTTATCCTGGCAGCCTAGTTTCCGACATTTCTCACTAACCTTTTACATTATTCTTTATTACATTGTTGGGATGTTTTAATTTAACAAGGTTTAGCGAGTTCTCTAGTTTGTGCATATGGGGTGTCCCCCCTTTCTTACACAGTACTTCTTTTCAAACTTCTACTTAGGAGCACAAATGTGCATTAGTTTCCCTATGGCACTTCATCTCATCGGTGAGTTGGTTTTTCTTCGTTTGTCTCTTTTAGTTTTGTTTTAATTACTAAGGTGAATGGTGAGGGAACCTTTGTCCTAACAAAACGTAAACCCCAAACAAAATAGACTAAAAAGCAAAATAAAAATTAAATAAAAATAATGCTCAGACTCAGTTCCTTACAGTGTAGGGGTATGCAAAAGAAATGAATAATGGCAAATGTAGGCATACCGTAAGAATATTTGGATTCTGAGTTGAGGCCTTTGGCCATATCATGGCACTTGATACTTAGTTCTAAAGAAAAATATAATTATATTTTTATTATATTTATTTGTGTTCTTCCTCCAATGCTTTTTGATTTAAAAAAAACTTTTTACATGTATAGTGCTGTATAATTGACTAAGGTGGCACTGTTTGAGGAACATGCAAAATAAAACTTAGTGAAAATAAGAAGTGGAAAATAAAATTTAGGAAAATGGGTTGCCAAGGGGTACATAAGTGAAAAAGGGTTGGAACTGCTGTGCTAATATAATACTTATACACATCAGAACATCTTCAATAAAGTTTTATACTTTTTTATACTTTTTAAAACTTTTTTAAAACTTTTTTTTATACTTTTTAAAACTTTTATTGTGTTTTATGAAATAAACTCAAATATTTTTATTAAACAATTATCATGTTTTAATGACTAAAATTTTTTGTTCATAACATACATGTAAATGTCAAATTAATGCCTCTCTGAAAAATGATTAAGTTTATAATAGTCATTAAATTATTATATGTCTTAATGTTTGTTTCTGAGTGACAAATAATGTTTTAAAAATTTATACATAAGAATACCTGATAAAATTATCTTTCCACATTATATATTTAGATCAGTGTTATTAATATTATTTTTATAATCAGAAATAGATTTGTTTAAAATTGTTACTCTAAATTTTTATTTTATTTTTATATATATTTATAATAGTTATAATTAATAATTTATATTTATAACTCTGTTATAAATATAAGAAAATAATAATTAATTATTTGAGAACAATGGTGATGATTGAAGTGTGACAATATTTTTATTAATAAAATGACTAAAGTTTAATTTTAAAAAATTATTACAATTTAACTAAAAATTAAAAATTTCATTAATATAAAATTTTTCCTTTAAATTTTTTAAGAATATTCACTGGCTCAACTCGTTTGGATGGCTACGCAATTGTTGATTTTGTAAAAGCCCTTTGTCAAGTATCTCTAGAAGAGTTAGCAAATTCTACACATCCTCGTATGTTTAGTCTTCAAAAAATTGTGGAAATCTCATATTACAATATGGGCAGAATACGTCTGCAGTGGTCTCGAATTTGGGAAGTTTTAGGCGAACACTTTAACAAGGTATTCATTTTGTTGCTAAATTTATGATATAAAGTTTCTTTAGTATATACAGTTTTATTTATAACTGAAACTTGCATATCATGTAAAAGTCATAGAACTTTAATGTCACAATTACATTGATTTCATTTTAGAGAGTATTACCTGTAGTTAATTTATTTTTAGCATAGTCTTAAAAAGTCTTAAGGATAATGATGATTATATGAATTCTATTGTATATTATTATTTTTGATGATGATATTTGTAACATACATATATTTTTCTTTTATTTCTTCTTTGTGAGCATTAAGAGATGTTTTAACAAGTTTGTCATAGATTCAGCTAGGTTCATAATGGAGTGACTGAATAGTTGAAATGGAGCATATCTGGGTTATATCACCATTGAAAGTTTTTAAGTATTGTTCAGGATTCAAACTATATTTTTCAAAATTGGTAGCACATAACTTAAGAGTTTTAACCCAACTAGCTGTTTTATATAATTTGCTATTATTTTTGTCAAATAGAATATGTGTAAGGAAAAAAAATAATCTTTTGTAAATATTTTCCTTTATTTTTTGCTATAGCCTTTATACAAAATTAATTTTGATATGCTATACATTTTTAAGAAATTTTACTAAGAATATACAAAATGAATTATTATGATTTAATTTTAGTATGCCTAAACATATTTTTTTATGATTGTATTATATTTAAATTTTTATTTGTAAATTTTGATATGTCATATTACAGTAGAGTGTCATTTATCCGAATCAATTGGGGACTGGGGTTGTTCGGAAAATCAATATTTCGGATAACTGATTATGTATGAAAAAATATATTAACCTATCGCATGTTGAAATTTTTCTCTGTTGCGTGTCGCTTTGCATTGAATTTTCGTCGATGTTAAGCATAACGAAGACTATTGTATCATTAAAAATTATTTTTTTATTTTGTACAAACAAAATAAATATATTGAAAAATATAAAAACAAAAAAAAATTATACTTCAGAAGTTAATTTAGTATCAAAAACGTAAAATATTTGAGTAGCACAAGACATAGCCAAAGATTGCAGCGCCACAGCACTGGCGAAAATTTAAATTTACCAACTGGAATTCTTTCGGATAATTGACGTTTCAGATAATTGACTTTCAGATAAACAACACTCTACTGTATTACTTAGTTATTTTGAAAACACAAAATAAATAGAAGAAAAAAGTTTGTTTTTAAAGCTATTGAAGGTTAATGTAATAAATAATAATTATGTGCAAGTTATAGAAACATAAGCTAAAATTTATACTTGAATTTATTTAAATTCAAGCTAGAACCTTTGACATAGCTAACAGTATTTAAAAATAGTCAACTATTTGTCCTAAAGACAAGGATTAATTTAGATGATATGGTTATTGTATGATTTAGCCTGAAGTCTCTTTTTGTACATTAAGAATTTTTTTCATACTTATTCTAAAAATATCAAAAGAATATATCATTTTCAGTAAAGTGAACATGAAAGCAATAAATTCTATTTTTTCTATTTCTATTTTTTTATTACATTTACATTACATTTACAATTACATTATTACATTTATTACAATTCTATTTTTCCTGAAATTTATTTTGTATATATGAAATTATATAAATATGAGTTTATATTAAGTATTTATTGTGATTATTTATAATATGTTATCATTATTGAAAACTTCTTTCTTGATTTTAACATAAAGATTCTTTATATATATATATATATGTTTAATTAACTAATTTTTAAATTTTTTTAATTGTAACTAGTTTTTAACTAATTATTTTATTAAATAACTAATTTTGTCTCAATTATATTTTTACTTGGTAATAAATTTTTTGACCCAGTTGTGTTTATAAATAATAATTTTCTTGATATGCTAAATAAATTTGAAGATGGTTTGTTGATTATCTTTTAATATTGAAAATGTTTCAATGTTTGAAATAGGTTGGTTGCAGTCCAAGTGAAGATGTTGCATTTTTTGCTGTAGACTCACTTCGTCAACTCTCAATGAAATTTATTGAGAAAGGAGAATTTGCCAATTTTAGATTTCAAAAAGATTTTTTACGTCCTTTTGAACATATTGTGAAGAGAAATAGGTAAGTTTTTTATATTAAATTACTTAAAATTGAAAATATTTGTAATAATAATATTTAAAAGTAAACATATTATTATAAAGTACAATAAAACTTGTATATATCACTCAATTATCCATTAATCTGTTAACCATCATAATATTTGACTCTGTCATTGTGAAGTCAGACAATAGTAATATCTGTATGTGTTGTTCCTCATGATTTAGCTCCTTTATTACTATTTCTTCATTACTTTTAAATGATGATGAGACAATGTGAAAATGAGGAAGATGAAGTTTAATAGATGCAAATAGATCACATTGAAGTGAAAATATGCTGTTAAAATGCATTGAATAGTTCAAAATAAAACAATAAAAGTGGAAGCAATGCAAATATTACTTTTGCATAAAATTTGCAATGTTATGTCCATGAAATCTAGGAATGCACTGAAGTAAAAACATTACTTATTATTTTAAAAATTAAACATAGATGTACTGTATATTTGAATGTGTGTTTTATGACACTTGTTTTATTTTACTTTATGTTAGGTATTAGAAATATACAATATATGTATATCTTTAATCTTTAATATTGAATAAATTATTTTAGAAAACATCCATCAAGTTTTTTTCATTCATTTGTCAAGATTTCTTTCTTTATATCAGTGTATTGCAAATTTTTCTTACCACAGAACACTTCACAAATTCTGAAATTTTAACATTTTAACATTTTGGAACATTTTGGTTATTTTATAGGATAGGTAGATATAAATAATAAATAAAATAAATGAGTAAATCTAAGCATTAAGGAAAAACAAACATTTATGCTCAAGCGTTAATTAAAACAATACACATAAAAAAAGTAAAATGAACTAGCATACATACATACATACATACATATGTACATACATACATACAGTCAAATCTGTCTGTAACAGAACCCCAAGGGACCAAACAACTCTTCTATAGTAGACAGGTTTCCGCTATATGCAGGCTACCTACTATAGGTATCCCTTGATTAATGTAATTAATAAATTTCTCAATGTTACCATGTATATCAAAATTGCATTAATCTAATACAGTGGTACTAGGGTACTTGACTGAACAATCTCCACCTGCTAGAAAATATTTTTGGTTAATAACAAATATTTTTATTTTAACTTTAATTTTTTCATTCATCCATAAAAAAGTTCTCTAAGATAAAAATGAGTGACCAGTTTAAAATAAAACCTTACAGCTGCCTACATTTGTCAGACAAAATTTTACTCAATTTGGTTCATTTTCTTCATAAGTGAAAAAAACAAACTGCATGACAAACACAATCATCAGCATGTTTTACAACCATTTCAAGTGAATGAAGTGTTTCAACAACATGTGTCTGTGACACGCTAAGATTTGTTGCAAATTTATGAGTTGTTATTCATCAATCTTTAACAATTTCTTCCCACAATTTCTCTTCAACAGCTTTTGGAGGCCTATATATTTTGTATCCTTTAGTTCAAAATTTTCCAAATGAAACTTTCAAAACCACATTTGACACATTTGGAGTTTAGAAGCATTTTTCCATACACAGTACAATTATTTTTTACTGTCTGTGTGGTGTTATATCTTTTACAAAACTTAAAAAGCATGCATAATATGCCCAATGTGGATTTTATCTGCAGACATTTCGATTTGATTTTATTCAAATAAAATGTGATGTAAAAAAGTTTAAAATAACCTTCAAAACAAAGTAAACATTTTCACATCAGGAATAATGAGTTAAATTTTACAACTTATAATTATATCACATATTTATGTAAAAACAGCTGTTAATAAAAATACACAAAAACTTTCTGTTTAAATTCCAATAAAATTACCTTTTTTTTTTTTTTCTTTTTTTAATTCTTTCCGCCCTGTGGGCTCTAAGAGGCCTCTTTTTGCAAGCTCATTATGGGTTCGGCCAGGCCCACAATGGGGCTGCCCTGCTGGGTGGTGGGAGACGGGGCCCGACATATCCAAATGGACCACCCCCTGAAAAATTCCTGGGGTTTTTTGGCCTATTCAGATTCGAGCCCAGGTCCCCCAGAGTGGTAGGCTGCCAGCTTGACCGCTCGGCCATCCAGCCGCCCAATAAAATTACTGAAATACAGTAGTCATATTTTGCTATTCTGTATTGTGTATGTGTATTGTTTTACTTTTTGATTTATACATGCTAGGCTTGTAAACTACGTTAAATTTGTATTAAATCAGATAAAGCTACCGATTTTTCTGTTATACAGCCCAATTTTCATTTCCATTTTCACATTAGATAGGTTTCGCTATATACAAGTTAATTCACATTAATTTTTGCAAAAAATTCAAGGAACTGAAGAAATTTTCCATTAATGACAGGTTTTCACTATACACAGTTTTCATTACAGACAGGTTTGACTATATATATATATCAAGCTGATTCAAAAGTTCCTGGACACTGACAACACTTTTGTGAAAAAGATCTCTAGCACTGGCAAAACTGCTGTGAATGCAAATGAGCTGTTATATTCATCATCATCATATAGTCATATTCATCATCATCATATAGTCATATTCATCATCATCAAAGCACATACTATCGTTTTATAGAGCTGTTGAGTTCATTTGTTTGGTGAATTTTGTTTTCTACAACAAGGAATGACGACGAAATTTATCATTTAAGTCATGTTGCATTATTACTGGAGACAAGGGTTTAGTGCAAGGATAGCAGCAGAGAAAATGTGCAAAATTGAAGGCCCAGGCTTGATGAACAAGACAACTGTAGCTGAATTCTGGGACTTAGTCTTCTACTTCAATTCTGGGAATTCCAGCCTTGGTCTAGATGACTATTAGTGGAATTTGGATGATTCAGTACATTGGAAACTGGTTCCTGATGGCCAGGCTGTGGATGGTAACTTCTATGCTGAGCAACTGGAAAGAGTGTTTGAAGTCATGCATGCTCTCTCTCCAGCATTGCTTAATTGAAAGCATACACTGCTGTAGCATGATAATGCTCTGGACCACCATTCTAGAGTGGTCCAAGAGAAGTTAGAGGAGCTGAAGGGGATTAAAGTTTTGACTTACCCAACTTATAGCTCTGATCTATAGATTTTCACTTCTGATCTTTGGCCCATTTTCTGCAAGGACATTCTTTCAATATAGTGCATAATGTNGTTGTGTTTATAAATAATAATTTTCTTGATATGCTAAATAAATTTGAAGATGGTTTGTTGATTATCTTTTAATATTGAAAATGTTTCAATGTTTGAAATAGGTTGGTTGCAGTCCAAGTGAAGATGTTGCATTTTTTGCTGTAGACTCACTTCGTCAACTCTCAATGAAATTTATTGAGAAAGGAGAATTTGCCAATTTTAGATTTCAAAAAGATTTTTTACGTCCTTTTGAACATATTGTGAAGAGAAATAGGTAAGTTTTTTATATTAAATTACTTAAAATTGAAAATATTTGTAATAATAATATTTAAAAGTAAACATATTATTATAAAGTACAATAAAACTTGTATATATCACTCAATTATCCATTAATCTGTTAACCATCATAATATTTGACTCTGTCATTGTGAAGTCAGACAATAGTAATATCTGTATGTGTTGTTCCTCATGATTTAGCTCCTTTATTACTATTTCTTCATTACTTTTAAATGATGATGAGACAATGTGAAAATGAGGAAGATGAAGTTTAATAGATGCAAATAGATCACATTGAAGTGAAAATATGCTGTTAAAATGCATTGAATAGTTCAAAATAAAACAATAAAAGTGGAAGCAATGCAAATATTACTTTTGCATAAAATTTGCAATGTTATGTCCATGAAATCTAGGAATGCACTGAAGTAAAAACATTACTTATTATTTTAAAAATTAAACATAGATGTACTGTATATTTGAATGTGTGTTTTATGACACTTGTTTTATTTTACTTTATGTTAGGTATTAGAAATATACAATATATGTATATCTTTAATCTTTAATATTGAATAAATTATTTTAGAAAACATCCATCAAGTTTTTTTCATTCATTTGTCAAGATTTCTTTCTTTATATCAGTGTATTGCAAATTTTTCTTACCACAGAACACTTCACAAATTCTGAAATTTTAATGGAACATTTTGGTTATTTTATAGGATAGGTAGATATAAATAATAAATAAAATAAATGAGTAAATCTAAGCATTAAGGAAAAACAAACATTTATGCTCAAGCGTTAATTAAAACAATACACATAAAAAAAGTAAAATGAACTAGCATACATACATACATACATACATACATATGTACATACATACATACAGTCAAATCTGTCTGTAACAGAACCCCAAGGGACCAAACAACTCTTCTATAGTAGACAGGTTTCCACTATATGCAGGCTACCTACTATAGGTATCCCTTGATTAATGTGATTAATAAATTTCTCAATGTTACCATGTATATCAAAATTGCATTAATCTAATACAGTGGTACTAAGGTACTTGACTGAACAATCTCCACCTGCTAGAAAATATTTTTGGTTAATAACAAATATTTTTATTTTAACTTTAATTTTTTCATTCATCCATAAAAAAGTTCTCTAAGATAAAAATGAGTGACCAGTTTAAAATAAAACCTTACAGCTGCCTACATTTGTCAGACAAAATTTTACTCAATTTGGTTCATTTTCTTCATAAGTGAAAAAAACAAACTGCATGACAAACACAATCATCAGCATGTTTTACAACCATTTCAAGTGAATGAAGTGTTTCAACAACATGTGTCTGTGACACGCTAAGATTTGTTGCAAATTTATGAGTTGTTATTCATCAATCTTTAACAATTTCTTCCCACAATTTCTCTTCAACAGCTTTTGGAGGCCTATATATTTTGTATCCTTTAGTTCAAAATTTTCCAAATGAAACTTTCAAAACCACATTTGACACATTTGGAGTTTAGAAGCATTTTTCCATACACAGTACAATTATTTTTTACTGTTTGTGTGGTGTTATATCTTTTACAAAACTTAAAAAGCATGCATAATA